TATAACAATTATATTCAACAATTTTATTGAGCTTGAGGCCGTTTTTTTTAATGAGAACTATTGTGGAAAATCAAAAATAATTTCTAAATTGTAGAAGTGATACCTATTTTGGAAATCACCACAATAGTTTTCATTAAAATAAACGGCCTCAAGCTCAATAAAATTATTGAATATAAATTTTAATTTTAAAACAAAATCTAAAAATAAAAAAAAATTAAACCGAATAAAGACAAAAAATAAAATAAGATCCAAAAAATTAAAAGAAACAACATATTCGTATGTTTAAAACAATTAAGTCTAAAAATTAAAAAAAGGAANATTAAACCGAATAAAGACAAAAAATAAAATAAGATCCAAAAAATTAAAAGAAACAACATATTCGTATGTTTAAAACAATTAAGTCTAAAAATTAAAAAAAGGAAATTTAAAACAAGGAAAAATAAACTAAATTAAAAGAAAAATAAATACCATACCTTTCTAAAAATTAAAAATTTCTTTCTTTTATAAACAATAAAACCTAAAAAATTAAAAACAAAATTTAACTAAAAAAGAAAAAATACTAATTAAAAAATAAAAAATAAAATGAGTTCCTAGAAATTAAATAATATCGTCACTATACGAGAATAAAGGCGCGAGCTCATAAGTTGACCACGAAAAAAGACGCATACAAAAAACTCAGCGAAGAAAGTTTTCCTTAAGCGAATTTTTTCGTAAACTTTTTTTACGCGTCTTTTTTCGCCCTCAAAACACTAGCGCGCCTTTATTCGTGTATAGTGACGATATATAAAAAAAAAATCTTTTTAAATATGTATATAATATCTAAAAATTAAGAAAAAATTAAATTTAGAAAAAAAAATTAGATTAAAAAAGAAAAAATACATAAAATAAAAATCAAAATTTCAACAATATAGCTGCTATAACTTCTACCGCTTGAACTTTGTTGCTTTTTCAATTTTCCGTAATAAACAAAATCGTGGTACAAAGCTCAATAAAAATGTTAAAATAAAAAAAAACAACGTATTTTTGCTTTTAAAAAATAACATAACATAACATAATGTATAAAAATTAATTTAAAAAAAAAATATTAAAAAAGAAAATATACATAAAATTGGGTCAAAAATTAAATGAAAATAAAAACAATATGTTTTTCTTTTTAAAGGAATAAAATCTAAAAATTAAAATAAATAAAATTAAATTAAAATAACAAAAAAAAAAAATCCTCTGCCTCTGACTTGAACTCGTCTCGAATGGCACGCTGGTGCTCTGCCCATTCGGCCATTGCGACTATTGGAGCGATGCGAGCTAAATGATATATGTACAACTGCTTTCTCTCAAACCAGTGGTGAATGAGGAAGCTTTTTTTCAAGACATTTGTGCTAGAATAACAAAAGTCTTTCGAACTATCTTGTCATCTGTCTTTCATTTGTCTTACGAAAGACTTTTTACCATCTTAGCCCGAATTGCCCTGGTGATTAAAACAAGAAATGCTCACATCGAATATAGAACCCTGCGGACAGTGTAACAAACATTGGTCGTTTTCGATAGTCATATTCAAGTTTTGCTTGCACTCAGACTCTGTATAGCAGTTTTGAAATATGCCAAATAAATATCTAAAATGCGAAAATAAAAGTTGCAATAGCATTAATTTTCGGAATTTTTATTTTGTATACTCACTTATCCGGTGGGCACTCTTTCACGCATGACCCGTGATCCATTAAGTTTTTACATGTTAGACAACCGACGCTTGAGCTGTTAGAGCAACCACCCAGACATTCGCTATGACAATGCTGGATGCCTCTGTAAACGAAACCATTTGATAGTAAGAAAAAATAAGTATGTCATAACTTACGCTTACTAACAAATAAATAGAACTACAATGGTTGTGAAAGGGGTTGACAGATAAAAAAAACTGCAAAGTTTTTGAAAATCTTCCCGAATTCAAGCTGATGTCAGATAAAACTTTGTGGCTTTACGTGACATTTATAACTTTGCCAGTAAAGCGCCAGATGCAAAAGGTATATCACAATGAACGCCCAGAAAACAATTTTGTACTTTGTATTTAAAATATAAGCAATGTAATAAAATGTTATGTTTCAGTTGCCTCGTGCGTAGGCAAAAAATAAAAACTGCACACCGCTTAGATACGTTAATTGGAAAAGTTTTTAATTTTGATTAAATTCAATACTCACTGTTTCGTATCGATCAGATTGTCATTTTCGAAACGTTGGCAAACATCATTGGACCAACAATACTCGGTAGCACAGCGTTGGCAAACAGTTTTTGTTGGGCAGCTCTCTGGCGCTATAGGAAATACCTGATTTTCACCCACGGACAGTGTAAGGCGATCCCAATTTATCTAGGAATTTTCGGATTAAAAGTGAAACAGGGCCTCCATAGCATGCATATTTGTATGCGTGCGGTGCTGTGTGTGTAAGTGTGGACATACGAAATTGTATATTCCTCTTATCTGACAAACGCACGCATACGTAGTATATGCATGCCATGGAGTTCCGGGTTGAGAGAAATAAATTCAATGCTTATGCTTCAAATGCACATGTGTAAGCTCGATAACTCGAAATATATTGGTGTCCCTTTTGCTACGAATTATAGCGAATTTTGAGTTGTCGAGATTCTACTTACCAGGGATGAAAAATGGAAATTTCATTTCTTGGAAATAAATGCACCTAAATGAGACAGATTGTAACGAAAAAAAGTTACATCATTCGTATGTAGTTTTAATTATTGATTTTATGAACACAAAAGATGGCTGTACTTTAAACTTCATTAAGTTTTTTTTTTTTTTTTTTTAAACTGAGCTTATATCTATATATGCTTTTCCATAATTTTGATTACCGAAAAATAATGGAGTAAACTTTTTATTCAGCTTTTTATAAACGAAAAATCTGCTAATTTATTCGATTCCCTTTAATAGGCGCGGCAATTCTAGAAAAAATAATGTGGATTGCCGTAAGTAACTTCGAATATGATGGCTATTGTCTCAACTACAGAACATATGAGTAACGATATGCACCTAGGTGGAAAAGTTGAGGAACGATAAAAAACTATCGAAAATTCCATATATATTGACATGGAACTTTCCATGTAGAGATATCTGCATACCTTAATTCACACGGCCTACACCAACACTTTTAACGAAACTGCGTTTTTTACAGATTTTAATAGGATGTATTATAAATTATAATTTATAACACACCTTCAATAAAAATTTTAAAATGTTGGTACCAAAAACAGCGGAGTTACATGCAACTTTTTAAAAGACATACCTGTTTTTGATACTCTTTATAATGTTTTTTGCTTCTTCTATAAATTAAAAAATTTGTTGATTGTGGCCTTTGTGAATTAAGGTAGCGACGATATGTGTATTTTTTTTTTTCAATCTTGGAGTTCCCTGCGGGAACTTTTTATACCAAATTTTTTATGCATTCGAAACATTAATTTGAATTTCCAGTTTTAAAATTTTTTAACTCAAAGAGGTTTGATATCATCATTAGTTGCGTTCCCCAACTCGCGATANGTAAACTTTTTATTCAGCTTTTTATAAACGAAAAATCTGCTAATTTATTCGATTCCCTTTAATAGGCGCGGCAATTCTAGAAAAAATAATGTGGATTGCCGTAAGTAACTTCGAATATGATGGCTATTGTCTCAACTACAGAACATATGAGTAACGATATGCACCTAGGTGGAAAAGTTGAGGAACGATAAAAAACTATCGAAAATTCCATATATATTGACATGGAACTTTCCATGTAGAGATATCTGCATACCTTAATTCACACGGCCTACACCAACACTTTTAACGAAACTGCGTTTTTTACAGATTTTAATAGGATGTATTATAAATTATAATTTATAATTTATAACACACCTTCAATAAAAATTTTAAAATGTTGGTACCAAAAACAGCGGAGTTACATGCAACTTTTTAAAAGACATACCTGTTTTTGATACTCTTTATAATGTTTTTTGCTTCTTCTATAAATTAAAAAATTTGTTGATTGTGGCCTTTGTGAATTAAGGTAGCGACGATATGTGTATTTTTTTTTTTCAATCTTGGAGTTCCCTGCGGGAACTTTTTATACCAAATTTTTTATGCATTCGAAACATTAATTTGAATTTCCAGTTTTAAAATTTTTTAACTCAAAGAGGTTTGATATCATCATTAGTTGCGTTCCCCAACTCGCGATAAGGTGGGAGTAAATAAGGTTTTCTCTGAGCGCATTTTGCTTTTTGNAGTTTACTTTTTTATTCAGCTTTTTATAAACGAAAAATCTGCTAATTTATTCGATTCCCTTTAATAGGCGCGGCAATTCTAGAAAAAATAATGTGGATTGCCGTAAGTAACTTCGAATATGATGGCTATTGTCTCAACTACAGAACATATGAGTAACGATATGCACCTAGGTGGAAAAGTTGAGGAACGATAAAAAACTATCGAAAATTCCATATATATTGACATGGAACTTTCCATGTAGAGATATCTGCATACCTTAATTCACACGGCCTACACCAACACTTTTAACGAAACTGCGTTTTTTACAGATTTTAATAGGATGTATTATAAATTATAATTTATAATTTATAACACACCTTCAATAAAAATTTTAAAATGTTGGTACCAAAAACAGCGGAGTTACATGCAACTTTTTAAAAGACATACCTGTTTTTGATACTCTTTATAATGTTTTTTGCTTCTTCTATAAATTAAAAAATTTGTTGATTGTGGCCTTTGTGAATTAAGGTAGCGACGATATGTGTATTTTTTTTTTTCAATCTTGGAGTTCCCTGCGGGAACTTTTTATACCAAATTTTTTATGCATTCGAAACATTAATTTGAATTTCCAGTTTTAAAATTTTTTAACTCAAAGAGGTTTGATATCATCATTAGTTGCGTTCCCCAACTCGCGATAAGGTGGGAGTAAATAAGGTTTTCTCTGAGCGCATTTTGCTTTTTGACAGTTTTATCAGTTGATTTTCCATAAAAGTTGAGGAACGCAACTATTATTTAAAAAATTGTTCATACCTTGTCTAAGTTGCATAGTTTTGGACAATTATTTATATAAACGTGTCCACGTTGAATGGCAATTAGAGATTTAAATTCCAGCTGAAATAAAAAATGTTAAATAAAATTTTAGTAAAAATGATCTTAATGCGTGTTTTTCTGGCCAAAAATAACTTTTAAGCTCTACTAACATCACTTTTTTTATTTTTTTTATTCTATGTTCTTGTATTTTAGATAATAGGACATAGAAAAGGTATGTAACTTTGCTTTTGTAAAAAGCCATAATGTAGTAAACAAGCAGCAGTCAAACTCTCATTATTTTTAGATAATTAGAAATTCGCTACGAGTAGATATTAAAGATGTGTGATATCAAAATATTGCGATTTTGTTTTAGTGATAAAATCTAATTTCAGTAAAGAGAGGAGACAAAAGGATGTTTAAAATTTCGTTGCTGCAATGCACTATACGTAACTTGATCAGTTTATGTGGCCAAAAGTCGTCTTTCGTACTTACAAAAGTAAACTTTTTCTCCTTAGTATTTGATAAACAAAACTTCAAACCAAACAACGGTGTCTTCCGTTTTTGTAAAAAATGAACAAAGTCGTTGTCTGTTAGTGAAATACTGGAATCGATTTTGTATTCTGTTTGTTAGCTATTTTCGAACAACACTTTTTAAGTTAATACTGATCTAAAAAATTATCAAAAATATAGGGACAAACAGAAAAGTAAGTACCCTAAGATTTTTAACTGTCTTCTTTTATAGAGCTTTTTTTTTTGAGTGAAAAATTAATTTTTCATATACACTTTAACTATTTTTTTCTTTCTTAAAAATGATTTTTGAATATGGGGCATTCCAAAGTGACGGGTGGGACATTTAAACTCGTTTTTGCTCAAACGTTTAGTAAATTCTCTTTAACTATTAATTTGCGTCAAAACTGTTCACACTTGAAGTCAGAAATTTAACATTTTCCAAGCGTTGCGGGTGGAACAACGATGACACCCGCTTCTCTGAGTTGTTGGATTCGTTTCCCAATTTTAGACAAACTATCTATAAATATTTCGTTTATAGCGGTTTTCTCGAATGAAGTTAGTAAAATGTTAAGTACCCTTTTATCCTTTAATGGCATTATTATATTTTAAAATAAAAAATAAATAAAAACAATTTTAGCTTGTGACGGATGGGAAATTTTTTGACGGGTGGGACGAGTCACCTTTGAGGACACATAGTAGTTCGAGAGTTAAATGGACACCGCTGGTATGATGTGAATATTTATTACATTTTTAATAAGGGGGCCTCATTCAAACAATGGGAAACTTGAGAATTTGCATGTTACGTTAAAAAATACATATTTTGCTGTGGGACATCCAATAAGCATTTTTTTTAACTTCTCACCATAAATGTATTTTTGTAACAACTTACCACCATTTTAAAGTTCATGAATTGTTCTTTCTTTTTGGATTATTATTCTTTGCATTTTCATCTTTAGTACATAAGGAATGCTTTAAAAACTTGATGAAAAAAATATTACAGCATATTGTATATGCATTTATAACAATTAAATACAGAAAATAGTGAAAAATAAATCGATAAAAATTTTATTCTAAAGAATTATTCTACCTGCTTTACTAATTTTACAGATTTAAACAATTTATGTAATTTTTTTTTTTATACCTGAGGTGTCGTCTTCGCTGGAATGACCCATATGCTTTTAAAATGTTGGCCGTATTTGGGCGTGTTAAGACTATCAAAAATGTGTTAAATTAAGAGTTTTGAGTTTGAGTTTAATTTGTCAATTTCATGTTGCGGTTTTTAGTGTTTTCTGAGAAAATGGCTCTTTTTATAGGTATTCTTTATACTATCAGTAGCAAACTATTTGGAGGGAAGAACTCAATAAAGAGGGAACAAAACTCTGTTTACAATTTTGTTGCTACTCCTTTTAACTTTTCAGCAGACAAATTAGGAAATTCAGAGCATTCAGGTGTTCAATGAAATTTAATATAATTTGCCAATATTATTTAAAATTAATTGCATTCGTAACTAGGTGGAATTTGTTTTCAATATTTATATAAAAAAAAAATGCATTCAAACTTTTTCAATAAAATCAGAAATTAACAAATTACCCCTTATGACCCATCATTGGTCGTCAAGGGTTAAGATTTTCTTGTTCAAAAATGTGGGGAAACGAATTCTAATCAACAAAAAACATATAAAGAAATAATTAGTTTTGGCCAGAAAAACAGGCATTTAGACCATAGTGCAGTGAAGAGTTAACTCAAACTCGGAATTAACTTACAGTTTTTGTACTGAAAATCTGTAGCTATCTGCAGAATCTAAAGCCGAGAATTTCCTAAACGTACGTTTCCACGACCTTCAAATTGGGCAATTTCGATTCTCAATTGAAATTGTAAATATTCACATGAAAAAATTTAAATTTGAACACCAATTTCGAAGACATTTTGTTTTTTATCTATTGATAAATAATTTTTTAGACGAATAAATCACTTAAAAGTTATAAAACTTCAAAGTTGCAACGAACAAATTTCTAACTTTTCTCAATTTCACCAAATTGAGAAATATATCAAGCTGATATTGAGAATGCTGCCCAAATTACGAAATTTGGGGCTCGTGTAAACGTACTTTAAGCTATTCAACATCGCTTTCAACAAAATCGCCTGTGTAAATTGTGTGAAATCAGCTCTAAATGAGGTACGTATTCAATAATTAAATTTTTTCAAGCAACCNTTTATCTATTGATAAATAATTTTTTAGACGAATAAATCACTTAAAAGTTATAAAACTTCAAAGTTGCAACGAACAAATTTCTAACTTTTCTCAATTTCACCAAATTGAGAAATATATCAAGCTGATATTGAGAATGCTGCCCAAATTACGAAATTTGGGGCTCGTGTAAACGTACTTTAAGCTATTCAACATCGCTTTCAACAAAATCGCCTGTGTAAATTGTGTTTAAATGTTCTAGAAAGCGGTAATATCGCTTGCAACTTTTCAGGCGATGTTGAATCGTTTACAAAATCGCTTCATGTAAATGCTGCTTAAGTTAACTCAGCACTGTGAAATCAGCTCTAAATGAGGTACGTATTCAATAATTAAATTTTTTCAAGCAACGTTTATATTGAAAATTGAAAGTTTAAAGAACACAATAAAGTTCTACTCTCAGCGGGAAAATATTAAGTTCCGAGTTACATAAATATAAAATTAATTGAAGAATTGGAAAAAGTGCCTAGCCTAATCACAGTATACAGTAATCCAGATAGGCAAAACAAAAAATGTAAATATGCTTATTTGACAATTTACTTGAATGTATTGGTTGATATTTTTTCACAGCTGTCGTTTTCTTTAACCCAAATGAAATCCAATTTCAATATTTTCTTATAGTGGCAACTATTTCCTAGTCACTTTAAATAAAACAACGAGAAAAACAAAATTCCTAGCAAATCAGGCTTGCAGCGTAAGCGATTATAACCGGATGCAGTTCCTACATAAGTCATATCTGGTTCCAAACACAACTTTTAGTCAATAATGGTGGGCTGATTTTGGAAAATGGACCCATAAATTAGGGAGTAAAACAAGTATTACTTAGCTTAAAGGTAGAACTCTCTAATTTAAAAATATACCACTTTTATAGTGGAGATCTCCAAAGTTTTTATGAAACATGTACCCAAAGTTATATATCGACGCTCGAACTAATGCAGGAAAGGTTTATGCAGATAAGCAAGGCCGTTTTTCAACGGCATAAAATGTATATACAAATATTATTACATACATATTTATCAAAATATTCAGAATGACGAAATGAATTGGTTCAGTCGTATCTGTTTGTAAACACGCTAACTCGAACAAAATTTACATATTTTAACGAAAGTCGGTGCCGAAGTTGCCTTTGGTATAATTTAGGATAGTATTAAATTTTGGTGAAATCTGTCTATAACCACGACCACCTCCCATCAACAATATTTTTGTTTTATTATTTTTTGTTTACGAATTTCGCTGTTAAAATTTACATTTCAAATATATCAACAAACATTTGGGGGTACTTTTGCACCAGTCATTGCCTATGGGTTAATGACAAAATAATCCTATACATGCACAATATTTCATGTATTAACCCAACAAGCTTTTCAGTAAATGTTTTTAAAAATAACTTAAAGTAAGTTTGCTAAAATGAGCGTTAAATAAGCATTTTTAATATTAAGCTTATTAAAAGTATTTTCAAACAATCCTTTAATAAGTTTTGAGAGCGAATGTTTATAAATAACTTAAACTTATAAATGAAATGCCAATGCCAACGACATGAAGTAGTAAATATAACACTTTTTCAATCGTAAGTGACGTGTTTACGTTTTTAAAAATATATTATTTAAAGAAAAAATTAAATAAAACCGATGCGGTAAAAAAATCCAATCCAGGACCCGCTGCGCTAATCGGTGGGTGGAGCATTCGAGTCTTCAAATGATGAGTTCTCCTTATCCTTTCTTAGTTTAACATTCAATTAAAAATGTATTCAATTTTTTTCAGAAAAGTTCATCAATGACAATGGCGGCGATGAGGCGGAATATATAGCTGCATCGATGTCGTTTTTCCAATTTGCTAATAACCGCAAGTAATTGAAAGCACGCAACAAGATGTAATAATTAACTTTTTAATGCTTAATTTGTATGTGTTATTGTGAATTTGTATGCTAAAATGTCTATTCCCTATTTATATTTTCGCGACTGTAGATGAGTCTGCCGAAAATTCGCATTGCGTTTAGTTTCTAAATGCTAAGCAATCTATGTATGAGTTTTTAATGAAATATCTTTAAATAAAGGGTTATAAAAATGTTTATAAAAAGCTTTCTTTTGAAAATTTTTAGTAAGTTTATATTCATACGCTTATAAACAACTTTTTTTGAACCTTTATTATAAGTTTACACTTTTACGCTTATAAAAAGCTTTCTTTTGAAGATTTATTACAAGTTTATATTTCTACGCTTATAACCAATGTTCCTTTTTGATTATATTACGCTTACTTTCAAGCGTTTTATAAACAAAAAATCAACGTTTTGTAAGTTTAATGTTTATAATTGAAAACTTACAAAAAACTTTCTTTAAGTTTATTTTGCTTGTTGGGAATTTTCAAATAAGCATATTGTCAATGGCTGGTTTACTGTATACTGTGAGCCTAATAAGAAATTGTCTTTAAGCTATAACGATTAACTAATTTTTTGTGGAAGTACTAAGCCTTCAGTTCCGTAAAAGAGTGATATCCCCACTTAAATAATTGCTGGTTGAATTTTTTTTATGGAGATAATTTAAATTTTCTTTCTCCAGTTTGGATATCGCGTACTTTAATTTTGCATACGACAGTTTATCTAAGGATGTAACAGTATTCTTATGGTCAGTATGCACGTCGAATGAATATTTGGCGTAACTACACAAAAGGACAGAAAGTCAAAAGATTCTACATTGCGAAACTGGAGGGAGAACCAGGTCTATTGCCGCTGGGAAATGTTGTTATTTGAAAAAGGGAATGCGAAAAACTTGGCTACGCCGGTTACTGAAGTCAGCATCAAAATTTCTAAGAGTAATAATTGACTTTCCAAACTGTGCAGAAAGAAAATAAAATTACATAATTAAAAATTATGGGCCAAGATTTTTAAGAATGCTTGACTCAGTAGCATACACTCCCATTGAAACGTCGCTAACCTTTCTGATTGAATGCATTTTGTTTGCGGAAAAAAACAAAAAACAAAAAAACAAAAAAAAAAAACAACAAGAAGCAAATTGAAAAGGTAATCGGTGGCCGAGTTTCTCGAACTAATTGAATGATGTGACGCTCATGTCCCGCTTAAGAAAATGCCGATTTTAATTTTTAACTCCTACATACAAACACTTACCGCTTCCAAATCAGGCATATTAGTAATGCCAAGTGCATAGTTCAGGAACAAACGGCGGCCACGTATCACAGCCAAATTGGGAAAGAGATCACGTATACTGCGCAGTCCCTTCACATCATGGAATATCAGAAAATCGGTAATTTCACGCAGCAAAGGAAAGCTATACTTCCCATAATCACAAACCTCTTGCGGTCCCCTGCGCAACGATGGCAAAAGGACTATCAACAGAAAGCCACGAATAACAGTGCAGTTATGCAGCTGATTCAGACTAGCGCATTCGTTACGCACATCGATGCTTCTGCATTCGCCCGGTTCCGCTTTCGGTGGTCTATAGGGTATGCGCGGATTTGTGGCTGCCATGACTGTGGGTAGACAATTGCCGGCGAGCAGTAATAAAGAAACGCAGAGGAACAATATTAATAGGAACTTGTTGTTGTTGCAAAATTTTAAATGTGGAGCAGTGATGCCCATGAATAGCGCTATGTTACAGACATTCTGTTGATAATGTTTACAAGGGAGTTGTTGTCGTCGGTGTTGCATTTGATGCTGCTCCTGTTGACTTTGCAATACCGTATCGGTAATGCGCCACAGCTGGTAGATGCGTTGGGGCTCGTCAGCAACATAATTGAATGAACGCAGATTGTAGTGGACGGTTGAGCGAATGAGTAGCTGCTGTCGCCGCGATGCCGTTGATCGTGGAGAGGGCGACGGTTTTGATGGCATGATTGTGCTACTCGCTACGCAATGCTAAGATTCGCTAGATGCAAGTGTTCGTAGGATTGGATATGCGTAAAATTTGTTTAAGGATTTGTTGTTTTTATTTTTACGGCACGTAACAAGTGTTTCAAAGCGTTACTTTCAACAAATTACCGCTACCTTTTCAATAAAGTAACGATGTTGTCGTTGTTAACAATACAATTGACTGGTGCTGCTGTTGCATGCAACAACTGAAGTATGGTAGAGTTCAGATTTTTGGGTAATGGTCAATAGTATGGAGATCGCTTGTGCATTAGGTGAATGAGCACAACGATTTTTTTAAAGTAATGCGGGTACATTCAAATTAAAAAATAAAATTAAATACAGCAAAAAATTCACACAAGAACAAAAACGAACGTATGTATTCACAGCACTCCGATGCCAAAATTACTATTTTTCTTTATTTTGTTTTTAAATATTGTGTGTGTAAATATAATTAATGAAACTTAATTTAATTTATTGTATTTTAAATATTTGACTCGTTTTGTTTTTTTTTTAATTTCATTTACTTTTATTTTGTTTCACTTAAGTGATTCGCAGTAGACAAGTTAGTTCTTAAAAAACTCTACTTTTCCACTTTCTTTGTCAAAGCTATAACAGTTCAACGCTTGCCTATGCATGCCTCCATTGTACATGTACATACGTGTTGCTAGTACAATCCTGGCTAAGTAATCACTTGAATTTGCGATATTTCCTGTTTGTTTTTTGTTTTGTTGTTGGCACATGACTTTAGTTCTTATACACCTTTTATTCTTTTTTTTTTTTCTCTCACTTAGACAGTTAGCCTTGTATTGGTTATTGTTGTTGTTGTTGTTTGTGTTGTTGTTGTTATTGTCTTGCATTGCCCATTGCCGTTGTTCGCCGTTTGTCGTGAAAATTCGCAGTTAAGGTGCCAACTTACGTTTAATTAACATTACAATTTATGACGCCACATCGATCTCGATAGCCACGAATTTATGTTCATTGCGCACATTTTTAAGGGTCTTCGTTTAGTTAAATTCACGTTTAATAAGGTAAAAGGCGATAAAAATTGCACATATGTATGTATGTATCTATTTACATACATATGTATGCACAGTCGGTACTCCAGAAATCACACGTCTTTTACATATATTTTTGCTGTAAGCTCAATTACGAGTTTTCTTAAATATTCCGCGTTCTTTCTTCTGTTTTACTAAGCATTTTAGCACAATTAGTTTTTATACTCCAATTAAAATTTATTTAAACAATAGTTTCACATAATACACGGACACGCTTAAGATAACACAAATTAAAAAATAGCTTTTCACACTTCCGTTGTATGTAGGTGATTGTTAAAAGTCAAATATGTTAATAGTTGCGATCTGTCAAAGTGGGAGAGCCTCAGCCCGATAGCAAACTGACAAGGAAACAACAACCATACGTTTCGTTCCCAGGTGGACAGCTCAATTGCTTTTGATTGGTCACAATTTTATGCTAATTAAATTTAACTTAAAGAATATAAAACTTTCATAACCCGAAATTAGGTGAAACTACTTTGAATATTTCCTCCGAGGCAAAATACCTCGACTCCAAGTTGGAAAAAGAATTTAGAGGAGAGAGCCAGGAAATCTCTACACGTGCAAGGGGACCTTTGGAAATCAATGGAGACTACTATCACCGTACCTCTTCTATGGGATTTACACCAAAGTCATCAGACCAATTGCAACCCACGAGTCCTTAGTATGGTAGAGGGTTCTAGACAAAGATAATAACAGGAAAATAATAAGAAGTTGTAAAGACTCGCATGCTTTGCCATATCGGCAGCAGTAAGTTGCGCACCTCAGGAAGGGCTTAAAATGATATTTCATTTGCAACCGCTGCATATTTTCATCCATGGTACGGCCGCAAAGAGCGCTGCCAGGCTCAGAGAAGCCAAAACGTGGAAGACAACCAATTTCGGGCATGCAGAAATACTGAATAAAATAAAAAGGGCCCACTGACACAGAAGCGAGCACTGATTACATTATTTACATCTACGCAGCGCAGAGATGCCAATAGAAGAAACGGATAGCTCCGTACTACCAGCGTTTAGTGATAACGATAAAACGGATGAATACACCGTGGTCGCGACGTATGGCTTGTGGAACAAACAGGAGAACTATGAGATCACAAGATTATTATGGCCGCAGCTTAGTAGGAAAAAGACAAAGGACATACGGAAACTCAATAAATCTGGAATAAGAGTCCTTACCGGCGTCATCACCGGTAACTGTGCTATAGCACCTCTGCAGAGGTTGACATGATTTGGATGAGGAAGAGTCAATTAACCACTATCGATGTTCAGGTCTACAGACGAAGCGACTCAAGCACTTGGCTTCACGCTTCTTCAACAGTCTGGACGAAGTAGCGGAGATGGAATTGTTGGATCTCATCGGCTTCATCAGGGATAGTAATTGGTTCAGTAGCATAATGATTTGAAGCTACTCTTTCGATTATAGATACGTGTCTTCTCCTGACACTCACTTAAAGATGGCACTCACCATGGACAATTCTGTCTCCAAGTGAAAGTATGGAATATTCCACACACACCCTTCTAACCAAACCTAGCCGTCTTAGCTCGGTTGCCGAAAGCTACAGGCGGAGATGGCCTCGCTGGTCTGTTTATTTAGGGCAAGTTATTCATGGGAATATATACGGTAAACTTGGAGGAGGGTATCCGTCTTACCTAAATCATGCCGACCTATTAGTTTAAGTTGCTTCATCTAAAAGACCATCGAAGGACTGCTAGACCTACATATTAGGAATAACACGCAACTCCATTGCACAACACTCAGTTCGTGTATATCAAAGGCAAATAAACAGATTCTTCCCTACAGTTTGCTTTATGTAAGGCACATTAAAAGCACCCCCTGGACATTCTACGAATCTATCTCAAGGCCACTGGTCCAACGAGGAATAGATCTACCCACTGGCAATCGTCTCTGGGCAAAAGCTTCTTGAACATCAGATCCATAAGAGGGTGCCCACAGAGCGGGGTTCTTTCTCCTATACTGTGGTCTCTCGTGGTGGATGACCTCTAAACTAACTAAACTACAGGAAAGTGGATATGCGGACGACCTATTACAAACAAAACCTTGGCTCGGTTACCCTTCGGGTTACCTCGGGGTTACCCTGGCTCGGTCGAAAATTAATAGAATGGCTGCCGAACTGTAGTTTGTGCGATTGTAACTTATGCTTCCATAGTCTGGTGGCCAAAAAGGCTACAAAAAAACTGCCGTTTCACGTCTGAAAAAACTCCAAGGGATGGCTCTACTGTCGGTAAAAGGAGCAATGAGGAGAGTTGGACTCCACTCCACATTTTTGTCCAAGCAGCAGCTTCGAAGAATTTAGAAATGCAAAACTTTGACAGTACTCTTAAAAACAAGACACAACACAAAGGTATTTTGAGCAAAATACCAGGTCTAGAAATCAGCGATTTCTCCGACATTATGCCAAAGGAAATCTGTCAAAATCGCAGGCCGAGATGTCTGGTCAAATGGTTTACCTGAATTAGATGTACACTGGTACACAGACGGATTAAAGATGGAGGACAGAGCAGGGGCGGGTGTCTTTTGACCTGGCACACAGTTTCTATTGCAAAGGGTACTTGGTCCACAGTTTTCAAGATGAGTAACTAACAATATCAATTTGTGCCAGACTCAACCTTGAGAAGGTTTTAAGGGCCCTCTCCAATAGGACGATCCGTTCCAGGCTGATCAGGGAATACTTTGACACTATCCAACTCTTGGTGCTGGTTTCGAGGACACGGCCTCAAGTACTGTACTTGTGAGGCCGGAAAAGTTTTGTGGACTCAGTTGGTGCTCCTCGAGGCCCATAATCGAAGCGTAGGTAAACCAAGAACGCAGTAAGTATTGGGGTGAGGTAGGGGACCTTAGACAAGCCAGACTTTTTGGTTATCCTTTCGCTAGGAAATATGTACATTTCTTGAGTAGAGCTAACATCAAATTGCTAATTGGCCATAATTACCTGCGCTCTCACATGCACTGAATTGGTTTTTATACACAGACAGATTGCCGTCTTTTCCTTGAAGACGTGGAGATGTCGTAGCACATTATAAGTGATTGTCCAGCATTAGCCAGACTAAGACTGCAATACTTCAGTTTTTCCACAATCCATACCTTTTAGGTTAAGAACTCGTCTACCAAAAAACCTTTAGCTTTTGTATGGGATGCTAATAACCTAGTGGGCCATCAGGGTTATGAACCATCAGGGAGGATATAAAAGATCTTCAAGGCCGCGGTGTCCCTTGTTTATGTTGCACCCAAAAAATTAATATTAAAATTAAACTTACTTAAAAAATTGTCCTGATAAGGAGAAGTAGGCAAAAATATCTACTTTTACAGGATTGAGTGTACCATAAAACATATTTTCCACCATGGAAGGGCAATATTTTTTGAAAGAAACGAAATCACAAATGGATAAAAGAAACTTATACTACGTTTATGCGGCGGAATTCATGAATTCAAAAATTGTTCCGTTTATACATAATTCGCGAATTCATAAAATGAAGCGTTTTGAAAAAGTGGCAGCGCACTAGCGAGAAACTAAACAGTAGGGTTGTAATATTTTCCCCCTTTTTTTTTAATGTGCAAAAGCCGTTGGTACCAGGAAAACTGGTTTTAATGCATTTGAATTTCTTCTATTTGAATTTATTTTATATTTGAACAAATCCACGTAATTTTTCCAGTGTTTTTTTATCATTGTTATGCCACTACATGCTTTTGAATCTAAAAACGTTAAAAACCCTAGTAAACAGCACTTTGT